GCTGCGTGGTGCTTAGTCGCTGGCTGGGGTTAAACCATGACAGCAATCTTCCATGGTCACGCTGTCCAACATTGTACATTTCACTGGCAAAGTAAGAGACTTTTTAAACCAAGACCATTTCCACGATTCAGTTTGTTAATGGCAGAACCATTATTCAATGTCTAGAGCAGAGAAGGCCAAAATAATTTACTTAACTATCCTGTTCCTCACTCAACTGCCCCTGCCACTATGTAGCACTACTTTAAGTCAGACAATAAAATCTAATCAACTTGCTCTCATTAACTGTTTGGATGAAGCAGGGGCCTCAACTTCTGACTAACGAAACTTGCTGGAATTAACAATGGGTAGTGAAGTAACTAACACATCTCTTAACAACCTCTCAATTCCATCTCAGTTTGGCCTTATGCTCAGAACATCTATAGCTATTTTACTTTTCCATGTTATTTATACAAGATGTGTGCTGGCTCCAGATGAATCTGCAATATTAACAAGATAATCAACTTAAAAAAAAAATCAAAACCTTCTAATCTACATTAGAAGGCAGGATGAAAAGAATTTGTTCTACTAAACCAGAACATCTCTGCTGTATCATCAGATTCCACCTTAACCTAAAGGCAAGCTCTCACCACAGAGTTAGACACCATGGGATGCAGTCACAAAATGGTAAGTTACAGGAAAGCAGGGAATAGCAGTTCTGCTCTTCACAAAACTACTTGCTTCAAGCTAAAGATCTTCCCATTACAGGCACCCAACTGGTCCTTTTCCTGCCCTTCCTTTCAGCAGGTTATGCCTTCCTCCTGACCTGGGAAGGAATGTTCTCTCCGCAGACGTCAGCACATCCCCCATCCCTCAAGACACAGTGGAAGTATACATCCTCCTCAGTGGAGGTGTCACACAGGAAAAGATGCAAAATGCCATTCACATATTCATCCACGATGCCCACAAGTAGCTTGGAGCCACACAGCTTCTTGAATAGGAGAGTTGCTGCATTGCACCATGTACCCTGACAAAGAAACAGGAATGTAAAGTTACTATAAACAGTCCAACATCCACTGCCTGAGACTTTTCCCTTGTGGGCACTTGTCAAAGATGCCATTAAGCTATGTCAGGCTAGGGACAAATACAGAAGTCAGGCAGACAAGCTTCGCAGCACTGAACTAAATCAAACTACCCCAAAGCCTGCAATGCTAGTTACACTGGGAATGCCCTCTCACCCTAAAAACCTATTTCCAAACACTGTTCGATGGCATTCACCAGTGATTTTATCACAATTGCCTAAAATACAGGGTTTTTTTTTTGTTTTGTTTTTTTAAATTCCTGGAATCATGTGATTATAAACATTAAAAGTGTCAAAATTTTTTAAGGAGCTGCTAAGCCTCACCGCAATGAGAATTGTGACTCTCTAACCCTCAAAAAACAGAGGAAATAACTTTTTTAAAATACTGTCTTTAAAACACAGAAGCAGCAACTCTGCTCACATGATTTCCTTAAGAGATTGTATTTCTCGGGCTTCTTGACCAAGAGGTTTCCCAGCACAGAGGAACTTTCTTATGACCTCTATAATTCCTTGGCTATGCTGATTGCATCAAACCAACTCACTTAAAACTCTATCACAGAAGAAATTTTTAAAACAGAGGGCTGGAGCTACCAAGGCTTCAGAAGGACCCCGGAGAACTACTGGCAGGGGAAGAAACAAGTTTGCTCATTTGCTTAACAGTAGCTGTCTGCCTGGGCAACAATATAAGCGAGAATACTCTGATCATAGGGAAAACAGACAGCAGAAGGGTGATCACTTGCAGAGGCAGAGACTTACACAGTCATACTCTGCTGAACATAACAGCAGCAATTCTGCTGTAAACATCAGTGGGACCTGAATTAATCCAAATGCTTGCCCTTATCAGGAGAAAAAGCCAACCTCTATTTGATAGCTCTCATACATACGCCAATAAACAAAAACTGCATGTGAACACATACCTCCACGGGTTTTACCCATGCCAAGGAACATGGGATGGCCTGAGCAGGGAGCTTCAAGTAGCACCACCTACAATACAAGAGAAAGCCATCACCATCACAGCAAAAACAGAGCAAAACCAGGCAGAAGAGCAGAACTACCTCCTCTTCTGGGTTTTAAAATCAGCGTAAGAATAGAGAGGCACGTATTGGATTTTGCACTTATGAATAAAACCCAACAGCAGCTTTGGAAAACACTCCATATCCAGAGAATGGGCACAGCAGAAATAGCAATAACAACTGGTCCCTTATGCTTTCCCTTGCCCAAGCATCTTCCCATCATAACCCCTTATGACTACAAAGTTATGGACAGAGCGCCATGACTTTTGAACCAAAGAATGCCAATGGCCAGGCGTGAATAGAGGCAAATGAGAGGGCAGAAGCAAGTATGAAAAAGGTGCTGAACTGCAGAGGAGAACAAGTACCTCTGACACTGCAAATGTGTCCCACTTGGACTGACACCCCTTCAGGAGGATGTTTACACCCATTCACAGAACCCAGGAAGAAGGATTAGGGAGCTTGCCCTGAAGTGACAGGAAGTGGCAAGAGGAAAGACTTGAGGAATGAAGACAGAAACAGGAAAAGATTTAGCCTGTGAGGGAGTGATGGACAGGGTTGATGAGCAAAGGGCCCGGAGTGATCAGCAAAACAGGTCTTAACAATGTCACCTCAAGCATTAGCATGTAAGCAAGGAAGTGCCTGCAAGGCACCATTAATGGAATAAAAACCCAGATCCTTTCTAGGAAATCTGCATGCTGGGATGTCTTTCTGAAGAAATACAGGCCAGTCAGCCTCACCTTGATCCCTGGGAAGGTGATAGAACAACTAGTCCTGGGAACCATTTCCAGGCACATGAAGGACAAGAAGGTGACTGGGAGTAGTCAGCATGGATTCATGAAGTCATGCTTGACCAACTTGACAACCTTGTGTGATGAAATGACTGGCCTGGTAGGTGAAGGGAGAGCAGTGGGTATTGTTTACCTTGACTTCTGTCAGGCTTTTGACACCGTGTCCTGTAAGATCCTCATACAGAAGCTAACGAAGTATGGACTGGATGAGCAGTGAGGTAGATTGAGAACTGGCTGAAGGGCCAGGCCCAGAGAATGGCGATCAGTGGTACAAAGTCTAGTTGGAGGCCAGGAAGTAGCAGTGTACCCCAGGGGTCAATATTGGGTCCAATACTGTTCAACATCTTCATTAATGATCTGGATGATAGGGGAGAGTCTACCTTCAGCATATTTCCTAATGATATGGAACTGGGAGGAGTGGCCGATACACCAGAGGGTCATGCGGCCATTCAGAGGGACCTCGACAGGATAGAGAAATGGGCAGACAGGAACCTCATGAAGTTCAAAGTCCTGCACTTGGGGAGGAACAACAGCATGCACCAGTACATGTTGGGGACCGACTGGCTGGAAAGCAGCATTTTTACCATGATAGTGACCAAACACCAGAACAGGTTGCCCAGAGAGGTCACAGAGCCTCCATCCTTGGAGACATTCAAAAGCTGTCTGGACATGGTCCTGGGCAGCCTGCTCTAGATGGCCCAGGGAGGTTGGACTTGACGACCTCCAGAGGTCTCTTCCAACCTCAACCATTCTGTGATTCTATCATCCATGTGTAATTTACTTACTTGAGGAATCTCAGCCAAGACTTTCGAACAACTTCAAGGTTTCCGTAATCTGGGTAGAACACCTCTACTTCTTGGTCATTGATCACACGGTGGATGATAACACGGTACCACCATTTCGAGACTGTTACACAGCAAAGCTGTCCAGGCTGTACTGAAGACTCAGGCATGATATAACGATCAGAAACAAGTTTATTTGAGTAACAGTGTCTGCAAAAGATCATATTGAAAAACTGTGCTTGGTAGGATGCAGGAGATGAACAAAGAGAAATATTCAGGGCTTCAGAAGAAACCTGATTTCTCAAATTCCCCATGACATGAATTTTCAGGAGTTGTTCTAATAGATGCTTTACATCTCTGTTCTGCCACACCTAAACTGAAATGACAATAAAAAATGCAAACCCAAACATTTAACATTTGAATGATATTCTTGGGGTCCAACAAAAAGTTAATTAATGGGGATTAATTAGAGGCTAAATACAGTCATTCTAGTCATTAATTTTTAACATTACACGTTAAATTTTTAACATTGATGTGTCAGTGCTTCTTATGATCCAGGTTCTGGAGTACCGGCTCACATACACAGTATCTGTTGGCAGTCTGTAATCACACTTACATGTGCCCCACAGACATCAAGCATTTACTCTGGCACACAATTAACAGCAATTGTATCACTGCCGTGGTGCAACAGAATCCCAAATCCATAATGTAACTGACACAAAGCAAGCCACTGATGAGATTTTGCTTTCAAATACAGATATGACAAAGGCCTATTACCTGTAGCTTTTTTGAAAAGTGTTGGAGACAGAAGTAAAAGCCTTAACCAAGCACATTAGCAACAGTAGCACAGACAACAGAGAGGTGCAAAGGGACCCTAAAACCCTAAAGCTCCTTTCCATAACCTTTCCAGGCTTTTAAAGTTTAAAACTGTCTAGGACACAGCCAAACAACTGTGAATTGCTATTAAACATACTTTTTGCTTGCTAGTTAAGAGGAATAGGTAAGCAATATGAGTATGTGTTTCAGTACAGCACCAGCATCTCTGTATCAAGTAATCAAGCCAGCAGTGACCATAACTAACAGCTGGGTGCCCTGTTCCCTCAGCGCAAACACACACACACAACAGGCAGCAGTACTGAATCAGCACAGCATATTCGCACCTCATCTCAATCATCATATCCTGCAGTTTATCAGATGTTTCCCTGCTGCAAATGTGGATGTAGAACTGGCTAGGAGAGACAATGAATTCCACAAAGACTCCCACCAAGCATCTTCTCTCCAGTGGTGGTAGACTGCAAAGGCTTCTGTCCTGAACAGCATCTGGGGGTATTTCTGGAGTCATTATCAGCTTGTCTAGTAGGGACCGCTCCAAATCTTGAGGCTACAAAGGGATGAGAGGAAGGTGGCACTCAGCTGTCTGGTCATGCACTGAACACACACAACTGGCCTTTCCACTAAGGTGGAAAATGGTTCTGCTTTCCTGGGGACCTGTGAATTACTGATTATCAGTGAATCCCAACAAATTGCACAAACTTAGATTAAAACTTTCCCTGTGATAGAAGCACTCATTTTCACACTCTCTCCTTCCTTCCTTCCTTCCCTCCAGTATACAGAAGGGTGCAACGAAAACACCTTGCTTGTATTCCTGCAGGGAATAAAGGAGAGGAATTGAAGTCATGTCACATATTCAGACAAAAGTATTGAATGGCTATTGCTAAAAAAGCAGAACACACACACACACAAAAATCCCACACCAAAAAACCCAAACAAAACACAACCCACCTGTTTGTTAGAAATAACATCTTTTGGGTAAAATCCATGTTCTGTGACCATGAAAGAGTATATGACTGAACCAGCAAAACTGTATCTGAAAATGATTCAAAAGTGACAGAAGGCACAAATACATCTCACTTTCACACTAGAGCTATTTCCCAAGGGTAAAAACAAACAAACCCTACGAATTCTGTTCTTTTCTCACTCTAAACAAATTTATATGAGTGAGTTGTCAGCACAGCTTACAATTTTGCGTTATTCTTTAACTGCTGAAAACATTATTTCACTTGAACTAGTGCGGATGGGAACCTTAATCAGACATCAGCTACTTTCACTGCCTCAAGAGCTTGCTTTTGTGCCAACAAACAGCACTCCTCCACTGATCAGAAGTCAAAGTTATTTCAGTTTTACTTATCGTGAATATGCTACAATTTACCACTGCATTATGTATGGGAAGTCAGTGTATGGGAAATTTGTCTTCCAGCACACACGCCATTGCTTATCTGGCTAAATTCAACCGCAAACAACGGGTTTTTGCAATATTGGCTCTTTTAACCATTTTTTTAAAGAAGCAGATGAGAGTCTCTCCTGCAGACTGACCAAGGGCTAATGCCCTTGAATTTTTTTTTGAGTTAAAAATTTTGACTAAAACATTGAGTTAAACAGTGAGTTAACATTTCTGAGTTAAAGAGCAACTGAGGGAGTTCTTGCCTGAGCAGCAGCATCACTTCTAAAAAACCCTCACATTTCACAGATTTCCTCTAAGAAGTGCCTATGAATAGTGGCATTTCTAAGGGACAGTTTTGCTCCCAGAATGCTCTTCATATCATACTGTTAAGGGCACACATGATCTTTATAACCTAGCTCACACACTGGTAGCAACAACAGACATTTCTGTGAAAGACATAGAAGATGTGTACTTAAAAACACATTTACAAAAAAAGCAACAAAATTATAAAAAGATAAACCAACAGAATACACTGTAAAACTAGGCTTAGAAGAGGCATGGCTTGCAAGACTGGCTAACTCCTTGCCCTAAGCTGGACTGGCAGCTGCCAGAGTATGATGTGGATGACAGCCTTCCTTCTGCTCAGGGTGGCAAGAAAAGCTGCTGAGAGCAGCAGCTCTGTATACTTTACTCATTTCAGGGCCAAGTGGATTGACTCAGCCCTTGTTCCTCATTTGTCCCTTACAACACTTAAACTATTAGTCTCTGGGATACTGGGATACCTTGTAGCAGGGCGGGGATCAGGTGAACGGTCCATTGCATATGCAAAGTACCACATTCCAACCTGCTTTCCTCCCTTTTAGGGATTTTTTTTTTTTTTTAAAACAAAATGGCAAACTTGGTGTCTCATGATGAAAACTAGTTGTACAAACATCTTCCAAGACTTACCCTGCTACGATCTTTAAACAGATTCCCTTTGCAATGCATATGAATAAAAAAAAAAATCTGACTTGAGGGTGGGGTTACCAGGACCACATATTCCCTTTTTTATCCTTCCTACAAGCAGACTTTGTTTGATCTAGGGAAATTCCCTGTGAACTTCATCACATCAAACTAAAATTTTTTAAAGGATCAGAACAGCCTGCCAAAAATCTCTAAATGGTATGTTTTATGAAGTGCTGCACAAAGTCCAACTTGTAGTCCCAGGCTTCCAAGTTCATTAGTGCACAAAACATCAAATTCAGGAAGAATTCCTGGGACCCTTTCCCTGCCTATGCGCTCCAACCGTACAGTTGCGTACAGCCACAAGACAAGCTTGGCAGAGGAAATAACTCTCAGTAGGAGGAGGATTTTCCTGAGAAAAGGAAAGCCTAAAGATGCTCAAAAGAAAAGAAAAAAAAAAAAAAAAGAAAAAATAGAGGGGGGACAAATGAATTCTCCCAGTCAGGTTTGGCAGTTCAGAGCCTCTGTACTGTTCTTCTCCATCACTTTCTAAAAATACACTGCTAAACAAACAAAAAAATCCCCCAAATTTTCAAAGTCCAACCAAATAGTAGACTTGAGACTGCAGGAATCAAGGTCTCTGAGGGACCGCTCCCCAGCTCTGTCACACCGCTGCTTGACACTTAAACCCTGCCTACTGCAGCAGGGGAAATTCCACACAGCTAGTCTCAGAACAAAGTTATTGAAGTCCAATGACAAGTAAGTACACCAAAAGGTATCACCGCTGTTATCAGAGAGCAAGATCATGCTTAACTGACCTCGGATGATCCACAACGTAGATCTCAAGACCGGAAAGAGACCTAGTCTGAATGGCATGTAAAGCTATATACTGGGTCAGTATGAGTCTGGTCACCTCCAGACTCATCTAAAACAGGTACAAAAATTTTTGGAAGCAGTAGTGCATTAACAATATAAACTCAACAGAACCAAAAGCAGTAAAAAGAGTTATCACCTCCCAGATTACAACATGATAAAGCTACAGATTCCTCATCCAGCCACTTACTTGTTTGAGGTCATCACCCAAATCTACTGCTTGTGTTTCCACTGGCTCTGACTTCTCTTTTGCTGTCAGGTGGAAGCTCTCTGTCTCACAGCTGGGTTCCAAAGGAGGCATGTCAGCTGCAGGTGCTGCTGTAAAGACAACAATTTGGCTTATTCTCTATTGGACTGATGCAGTGTTACATATTAGGCAGAAAGAGAAGACATCTGAAAATGAAAGTCTGAAAGCACTGGTGCTGTTTTCCTCATCTCTTGTAACACTCACAGCCACCATGTTCATGAGGATTCACTTGAAAGGCATCTTTCACTGCTATTAATACGTTTTAAAAAAATAAAACAAAACCCACTTGCTCTTGTAAGCATGCTAAGGGTTAAATCAATTGCTAGAAAGATGCTAAAAAGAATTTTCCTCAGAAAAGTCAGGAATTTCGTAGGAACTATATGTTATTTTCTGCCTTCTCTCATAGCTGTTATGGGAACGCTGAAGACATCTGTAGTCTCTTCTGTTTTCTTTTGTGGAACATGATAGCTGTGCTTTTCAGACTAGTGCTAAACCTTCTGTCTCAAAAAGCGCACTGGAAAGGCTTTACCACAGCCCACAGAGCAGACATTCAGAAGACCCTTCTAGTTTTGTCATCTATTGCCTTGAATGACTAGAAATTCCAGTTTTGCACACACATTCAGAAAGTCCATACTCTGAACAGGCTAAACATACCTTCTTTAACCTCACAACAAAAAACGGTGGCAACCTGTAGAAAACTTCCAGTTACGCATTCTGCTACCAAGACAACTCCCTTGAGACAGCTGCTTCTGCAGCACCCCACAGCCCCTCTGTGCTAAAACCTAGGGGAACGAGGACTACCACAGCAACTGGAAATGCAGCAACATCCACTTGAAACACAGCTGCTTGGCCACAGCGGTTGCGAGAGCTAGGAGCTTTCAGTTAAATAACACACTGCCTCACCTTGCGGCATCTCCTCCTGCGCCTCACCCTGCGGCATCTCTTCCTGCGCCTCATCCTGCGGCATCTCTTCCTTCTCTCTCTCTCTTGCCAGGTACCTCTTCAGGGTCAGCAGGGAACCCGCTCTTGTCTGCTCAACTACAATGATATCAGACACACTTCTGAGGACTTCAAACATGGAGAAAAATCCATATTGCGTGTATTGGAACGCCCGGCCAAAGCGTCTGAAGAAGGCCTTGTCAAAGTCCAAAAGCAGAAGCGGTGAGGAACTCAGCAGATCCTGCAGCTCAGCCTTCACTGTTGCTGGCAGGATGGGGGCCCTGTCCCTCCGAGGGAAACTCTGTGCATTCTTAGAGGGAGAAGCAGCATCTGCCTTCGCAGCAGCACCCTTCCGTACCCTAGCACTTCTCCTCTGTCTGGCAACCAGTTTGGCAATTGCTTTGGTGGTCTCATCTGCAATGGCTACAACAGAAAGAAATAAACTATTTGACTACCAAAACAGCAAACCATTAAAAGCTCTACACGGGCAAAGCTCCTCTTCTTTCCTCTTCCCCGCCCCCCCACCCCCTTTCAGAAGCAGGTGTCTCCTTCAAAAGCAATCACACGAAATTGTGGCTGATTTCCAGAAGGGCAACCACTGTTCCTCTCCCTTTGCAAACTGGACTGAACCAGATTTAACAGCCAACAACCAATCTGCACCCTCATTCCTATAAATCCAGATCCAGGCAGGAAGGCGGGTCGAATTCTTGGACACAGGTTCACAACAGGAAACCCAGCTGCTGCAAGTTTTGTTGAGAAAACAGTAAATGGCTCATTGCTCCCCTCCTCAGCCAAAATCACAGTAAACCCCCACTATAGAGTACCCACCCGCCCAGACAAGGTCTCCCCAGAGAGCAGCCCAAGTCTCTTCCATGCTTTTAAACAACTTCTTCTTGTCTTACTCTAGCACTCTAAAAAAAAACAAAACAAAAACATTTCACCCTTTCCAATCAACTCTTTGCACCTACCATTTGTTTCCACAGCTCTTCCCCAAAGAAAAGGAAAATGAAAAAGGTTCTTTGAATATCGACTAAACTTCCCATGGGGGAAACATTTACAAGTTCTCCCAAGAGGCCCCATCCCTGGTTTTGGCTCCTCCTGTAGTCTGAGTTTACAGGAAAAGTGAAGGTTACCAGTTCTAGTGTACCCCTAAGAAACGTTACTGCAGTTTCTAAACTAAGTGCAGAATAGAAAATGGTCAAAAATAGAAGCCTGTATGATTTTTCAGGAGGAAAGAGCAGAAAAGCATTAAAATGCAGATCAAAATACAGGAAGAAACATCAAAGACAAGAAATTAAACAGAGCTATATGAGAAAAAGAATAACAGGGATATATGACCTACAGCTCTGGGAATTCACCCTGCACATCCTCATTTGGACTATCACTTCATACTAGTATGTGGTTCCAAACAACTCTTCCACCCATAAGGAAACAAAACCTCACCTTTGAGGACAAAAGTGCCTTTCTCGTAAGAACAGACTCTGACAACTTCAGGCATATCTGCCACCAGCTCCAAGGTGGATCGGAAACCCAGGTCACGTAGAGGGAGAGGTTTGCCAATCATGGCCACGTACTCCTGCTCCAGCTGTGCTGGGGTTAAGCCCTCTTTGGCAGCCATTAGCAGCGATCTCACCTCCTTCTTCAGCACCTCCATAAGCTGCGCCTGCTTTGACATGTCTGCACTAAAGGGGAAACAAAAGCAGCAGAAAACAACTCATACCACAGCTGCTCTGGTCGGGGGAGAGGGCAGCAAGCCAGGCTCACCAACAGCCACTACCTACCAGCCACCACCTTTCTGCCTGCACCCTTGGAGCTGCCATCCTTCGGCACCCGCTGTCCCAGCTAAGCTCATGGCTCCTCCTGCATCCGCTGCCTGTCCCCATGGGATCACAGCCCCTACAACCACTGAGTTTAGCGCACCCCTAAACACCTGCCCCAGGGGCTGCCCTCTACAACCCCTGCCACTCCACAGAGACCCCTGCACCCCTAAACGGCTACCTGAGGACCCCCACCCCCCATGGGCTCAGTGCCCCTCACGCATATCCCTGCACCCCTAAACCCGGGCCTGGGGATTCCCCCTTCTGCCCCACAGGGCCGCTGACCCCTAAAGAGATTCCTGTGCCCCTAAACCACAGCCTGGGGACCCCCCCCAAAGAGGCCCAGGGCGGGGTG